TGTTGGGGGCAATATGCTGACTCTGTAAACCGCTTAGAGAGGCCTGAAAGGCCTATGAAGCGGTATATAAGTCTACTGCTATTGCTATTGCTATGTATGGTCTCTCCTTTCCAAATGAATGAAACAGAATCTTTAGAGCTGGCCAAAATGTGATTGATGGATTTCAGGATCCTTTTGAGATCCTGTTGGGTAACCTCAGGGCAGCCATCATTGTGGAATGTCTTACTCTCGTTCCTTATGCAGACCCTACTCAAAAAGTTGTGTTTTAATTGAATTTGCCCCTCTTGCAAGTTGTGCCTTTTCTAGAAAAAATGTTTTCATAGTCTGTGGTTCTTTTACTTGACCTGACTATTTTTTTTCTTTACAGTGGAATGGAGTGCCCAGTTACATGTCAACATTCTTCAGCCTGATCATCTGTCTGAGAACATAGCCGCAATTTCTCAGCACTCAGAATATTCAGATGGTGAGAATAAAGAGGCCTTTCTACTTTGTGGAGAATGGTTGATCCAAGCTGTGGTATTACCATGCCTAGAAAAATATTTTAGATTTAATGCCACTTAAAACAAATTTTTTAACTGGGCTGAACCTGGAAACTTAGATCCTACCAAAAAACATAAGGGAAATTAGTTAGATTTTCAATCTTTTCTTTTGATTTTCCTTTGCTTTGATCCTGCAGAGGGCTGAGTCCTCTTGAATATAATAAGTAAAGGTACAGAGGGACACTGAGGTAGAAATGGATAATTGCCAAAAATTGATTAAGGGTGGATATTCTGATTATCCTAAGATAATCAAAACCCAATTACTCACTGTATTTAGAGTAAAGGTATCTTACATATAAAAGGAGTTATTTTCCTTTCGGGGTATCTATCTGTTATTAATTATTTAATATCTTACTGTTAAAGCAGCTTCTGGTTTTCAGATGTTTACTAGAGAGGAAGAAAATATGTTTTTAAAGAAAAGCTACCAGTCTTATTATAATATTGTGTCACTTTATGAACAAGCCATTTTGTCTGAAGAAATAACAGAAAAAGTACAGAGTACTATGTTTGAATCCCATTGTTAAAAAGCTGTCATGGGTTGAGGTGACGGCTATATAAAAAAATCTGAATCTTTTTTACCGTTCCTTTTCCTGAACAATAATCATCTCTACCTTGATTTCCTCCAAATCAAGAGATTAGGATTTTGAACCAGCATAGTAGCTGGAAATTCAAGGAGTTGTTAGTCCCAATTTATTAACGGGACTAGTTGAGGAAGGCTCATTGTAGCTTATTTCTCATCAAAGAGTTGTCATCTGGCTGTGGTTTTCTCATATCATTAAAATTATGATGCAGCTTGGCTCTTTACTGCCAGATTAATTGTTAAATTGTCCTTCATAAAAGATCAAAGAGCAATATCGAGGCTGGGGCTCCATCTTGGGATCGTTGCGGCTTTGTAACTCAATTTCTCTTCAGCTCCGAGTCAGAAAAACAGACGGGGTTGTTTTCAGAGGCTAAAAATATTCTTCTCTGCTTTAGTGTTTGTGTTCAAGCCCAGCGAACCAAAGCCCTTGTGTATCCAAAGAAATGTCTGCAGAGGGAAAGTCCAGTGGGCTGTCTTTGTTCCAAGAGAGGTGCCTGAATGTATTACCTCCGAAAAATATCAGTGGCTTAGCCAATCGCAGTTTTATTTTCTGACCGAAACACACGTAAGTGCTGGCTTTATTAAAACGACTTAGAAGGAAATTGGTAGGCGCGACTAACAGATCTGAAAAGAGGCTACCATGTTCATTTGGCGGGGCAATGGTTAAATGCAGCACTGCAGGCTACTTCAGCTGACTGCAGTTCGGCTGTTCAAATCTCACCGGCTCAAAGTATTTGAGTATTTGAGTATTTTATTAAATTTATATGCCGCCTTTTTCCCTGGGGGGACTCAGGGCGGCTCACAACTCAAGAGGGGAGGGG